ATTGTGTCATTGCCCTCCAACCTGGGCGATAGAGTGAGACTCCTACTCAAAAAAAAAAAAAAAAAAAATATATATATATATATATATATATATATATACACACACACACACACACACACACATATATATTTAACATGTGTGTATATATAATACATATTATATATCAATATATAATGATATATAGTAGTGTATAATATATGTATTATATATAAAACCATATATATAGTTAGGATTCATCTACCTTTTGTTTTAATTGGCTAGCCAATTGGTAATATATAAATAAAATAAAATCCCTCGAGGCTGTCTCTAAGCTATTTTGTTTATTTGCTTCCTTTGCCGAAGTTGTTTTTTTGTTACTAGATGATTGATGATTTGCTGGAAGAGTAAGGTCTGTGTCTACTGAGACACAGTGCAGATAAAACCTCTTAAATTATCACATGATTGGAGGGGCGAGTCAGCTTCACTCTTTCCAGGTGTCTGAGGTGGAACTTTTTATTTTGTTTGTTTGAGTTGGAGTGTCACTCTGTCACCCAGGCTGGAGCGCCGTGGCACGCTCACGATCAACTGCAGCCTTGACCTGCTGGACTAAGGTGATCCTTCTGCCTCAGCCTTCCAAAGTTGGAACCACAGGTGTGGGCCACCACGCCCAGCTAATTTTTTTGATTTATTGTGGAGATGAGAAGTTTCCCAAGCTGGTCTTGAACACCTGAGCTCAGGCAGTCCTCTCACCTCAGCCTCCCAAAGTGCTGATAATACAGGCATGAGCCACCATGCCCGGCAGGTGGAAGTTTTTAAAGTTATGAGATAGCAGAAGTTTTTTTTTTTTGAGTTGGAGTCTCACTCTGTCACCCAGACTGGAGTGCAGTGGCTGCTCCCGGCCACCGCAGCCTTGACTTGCTGGGCTCCGGTGATCCTTCCACCTCAGCCTTCCAAGTAGCCAGAACTACAGGCACGCGCTACCACTCCCAGCTAATTTTTGATTTATTGTAGAGATGAGGTCTCACCAAGTTGCCCAGGCGGGTCATGAACCCGTGGGCTCAGGCAATCCACTCACCTCGGCCTCCCAAAGCTCTGGAATTATAGGCTGAGCCACTGAGCCCGGCTGAGATAGCAAAAGTTTGATGAAAGCCCTTTGGTCAGCCTTGCTCTTCATCATTGTAATCACTCAAGTTCAACCCCAGTAGCAAGTGCCTGGAGATAGCTGAGCCAGGAAATGAAAGCAAAGGGCAGCTGTCCTGAGAGAGTGGTCACATTTAGGTAACTTCACCTCATACCACTTAACACTGATTTGGGTACCCAAAGAAGTTTCAAAAACTTTTTAATTTGGCTTCCTCCTCATAGGAAAGCTCTTTGTTGTGGTTCCAGGAAGACCCTGCCCAACTTGTTTCTGGTCCTGATGTTTAGGTCCTCAGAGAAATTAATTTTATAATATGTAGAATCAATCAGTTAAAAGATCACAGTGTGAAATGTTCAAGAAAACAGGGAGGGAGCAGAAAGAATGTAAATGTTAGGGAAATCCGTGCCTCCCATTAAGAAATCAAATCAGTACTACAAGGAGTTGATATTGTTAACTTAGCCAGGGCTTGTTTTTCCTCTGAGAGCCAGAGAGAAAAGGCTATGATGCAGACTGTGGGCATAGAGATACCGCAGACTTATCTTATCAATATCAGCCACCTCTCAGCATTGTGAATTATAACAACAAAATTTCTATCTCTGTTTTTTCTTATTACAGTCACCTCCTGTCAGGGCCTTCTGTCAGGGCCGAGAGGGGAAAAGAGAACTGCCCGGGGCAGTGAAAAGAAAGGAAACCCTCTCAAATCCAAGTCTGCTAACCTCTCTGGTTTGCCTAGGGCTAGCCCTGTTCTGCATGTGCATTTCTCTTGTGTCACCATCTGTGTCAATATCATGTTGTCTGCTTTCCTTTGGCATCCTAGCCTGTTTTTCCAAGGAGTAATGTTTTATTTCCTTGGTCTGGGCTATATACTTATTTTAATATTTCTATATTCAATTAAAGTCAGTGACTTAATTTTACATTTAAAACCGACAAGAGCCAGGCTTGGTGGCTCAACCTGTAATCCCACGCTTTGGGAGGCTGAGGTGAGTGGATTGCCTGAGCCCGCGGGTTTGAGACCCGCCTGGGCAACTTGGCGAGACCTCATCTCTACAATAAATCAAAAACTAGCCGGGC